CGAGGCTCCTACGCAGCAGATGCGTTGCCGATGGCTGCGAGCCGCCTCCTCACTTGTGCTGTGTTTCCTTCCGCCCGAACGCCTCCCGCGTGGCCCTCGATGTCCTTCCCACGTGCGGGCAGATGATCGACAGGATGTGTGTGAAGGTCCAAGATCACCTCAACTCCCTGCGCAACTGTGGGGGGGACGCCGTCCAGGAGGACGTGAGGTCGGCCGAGCGGCTCATGCGGGACGCCAAGAACTCCAAGACGGTGAGTTTCAGCTCGGGCTGCGCAGGCGTCTCAGGCACTAAAATGGTGTGTTAAACGTCAGGGTTGGAAAATAGTTCCAGCTTCCTGTTTCAAAAAACATATTTTTATTGATTTCAGAGAGGAAGGGAGAGGGAGAGAGAAACATCAATGATGAGAGCGCATCATAGATCGGCTGCCTCCTGCACGCCCCCCACTGGGGATGGAGCCCACAGCCTGGGCATCTGCCCTGACCAGGAATCGAACCCTGACCTCCTGGTTCATAGGTGGTGCTCACCCACTGAGCCTGCCGGCTGGGAGCACGGCCCCCGTCAGCCCTCAGGGAGGACCTGGTCCCGGCTCTGCTGAGTCCCCCCCACAGTGACTGTTCTGAGCGGGAGGGACCCTGGGGCTCAGGCAGGTCCCCTCAGGCCCGTGGGGACCCGGCACGGGGGAGGCAGTCCCTGCGGCTCCAGCTGGGCCTCCGTTGACATCTGTGCGAAGGGCCATCGATGGGCACGGCCACTCCTTCCCGCCCCTCGTCCTCGCCCCCGGACGCTGGTGCTCAGGCCCTGTCCCCTCACTGTGGACGGCTCTTTCCTTTCTTCCAGCTGCTGCCGAACTTGTACCACGTGGGCAGCGCGTCCTGGGCGGGAGCCGGCGGCCTGCTGTCCAGCCCCGTGCAGGAGACGCTGGAGTCCATGGCCGGGGAGGTCACGAGGGTTGTCGACGAGCAACTAAAGGTTCGTGTCTCCTGCCCCTTTGGAGAACGACGTGGTCACGGCTTAGCTGCCTGAGAGCAGCCCGGGCACGGCTGCCTGCGCTGTATAGGCCGTGTGTGTGCGTGTGTTCACCTGTCCACCCACACGCATAGGCCGTGTGTGTGCGTGTGTGTGTGCGTGTGTTCACCTGTCCACCCACACGCATAGGCCGTGTGTGTGCGTGTGTGTGTGCGTGTGTTCACCTGTCCACCCACACGCATAGGCCGTGTGTGTGCGTGTGTGTGTGCGTGTGTTCACCTGTCCACCCACACGCATAGGCCGTGTGTGTGCGTGTGTGTGTGCGTGTGTTCACCTGTCCACCCACACGCATAGGCCGTGTGTGTGTGTGTGTGCGTGTGTGTATGCGTGTGTTCACTATCCACCCACATGCATAGGCCGTGTGTGTGCGTGTGTGTGTGCGTGTGTGTTCACCTGTCCACCCACACGCATAGGCCGTGTGCGTGCGTGTGTGTGTGTGTGTGTACTATCCACCCACACGCATAGGC